CCTGGATATGTCACCCCTGACGAGTTCTGTTGAGCACTGTAGAAAAACAATCCTTGTTTGTTGTTCCTTTTTTCTCTTTAACCCAGTTTTAGATCTGCAGTACAAGAGAATAAATGGTTGCACAAACCAGTTTCTTGGACATGTATATGTCAAACTAGACATTTTACGCATTGTGCAGTCCGAATTGAACCACTTACCACAAGTAACCTCTACATAATATGTGTAACATTTAGAGCAGTAGTGCATGTTTACTTTGCAAATAATCAGAAGATACATATATTTATCCAGCCCTCATTTTAATGATGACCTTAATGCTTTTAACATTGAAACACAGGTCACTGCAGGGTAATTCCGTCACAATACAGGGTTATATTACAACCAGTGGTTGTAAATAGAATGGAAGAGAATACTGTACCTTTATTGTCCTAACACATGATGTGCAACAAAATTATATATACAACTCTGAGAATAAAATAAAAAAATAAACATATGATAAAGTACAAATATAAGAATTCATATGTCTGTAGGGTAAAAAGTTTGTAGGGTAAAAGTCTCTAAATACCACTGCAGCCAAGATGATCCAGCAGGAGTTCCTAGTCAGAACTGTAAAAGGAAAAAAAAAAATTCAAGCTTTATTGCTTAATTCAAGCTTCATTGCTTTATCATGTCATAGTAAGTCAAATGGCCAGTAGTCCAAACCGTTTACCACAGTGAACCATGTGTCAGTTGAGTTTCCCTTTCCTCTGCTAACCTCTTGGACAACTCATTCAACCATAATTTTCATTTCTTTGTGGTGCATATCATAAAAATTTGCATTGAAAACAAATGCTGAGGTGTGCTTTCATGCAGAACTGCTTTTCTGAACTGTGCCATAAGCAAACACTGGGTGTATTCTGTCTGTGTTGGAAGAAACATCCCTACCCTGTTATTCCTGAGGTTTTATTTAGTTCTACTTTCACTGTTCAAGGGTATTTTTTGTAGACTTTTAAAAATCTGATATGGCCTTTGGGTATTTGATATATCTGATTTGCTCTTTGGTTAGAGGGTGCTATTAGACATTGTTATTAGACATTGCAAAGCCCTCTAGGTCACTTTTAAGCTGTGATTACTGACTGATCAAATAAAGTATGTGAGTAAAATCTTTATCTTCCAGCTCTGATTCTCATGAGTTGGGTAACATTGAGATGTTACAGCAACTCACCAAGGTTACTGAGTCAGCACAGTGTTTCTTCCTGACTGGGGAGAATATGATCCCCAGAACACTGCTCCAGGCCAAGACTGCATATTGTCCCCTCGCCGGCCTGCAAGGAGATGCCATGACCTCACCTACTCATGCTCATGCACAAACACACACTGCAAAACCTATGTCTTTACGTGCTCACAGCCTGCACGCTCACTCCTGGCCCCCTGCTCATCAGCTGTACTGGCTGACAGAGCAAACAACAGTGGTGAAATCATTTACTTTGTTTTGACCTGCCTCCTATGGGGCACTGTCACTAAGGGATGGGAGGAGTTGGTCCCCAGTGGACAGTTACAGACTTGCATAACACTTCTTGACGTTAGAAAAAGTTAGTTGGTAAAAGTTTTTTTTTTTTCTATTTGTTGAGCATATTAACCTTTTGGTTGACTTGGTACATTCATTTTATTGGTTCATATTTAGTAAACACAGGAAATTATTTAATATGTGACAGTTAAGGAGCTCATGGGTACCATCTTGAGCTTCTGCCTAACAAAGGGTGCACGTACAGTGCCGAACTAAGTCTGAAATGATTTAGAGGTTACTTTGTGGCTGTAAAATGTCCTACTCTATATGTATCTCAGGGACGTTTATCAAGATTTAGTTTAATAAAAATTACAATTGTTATTAGAAGTTTGTTTTCATCTCCCAGATATCAGTTTCAGCCTCAAACATTCATACTCAGTCAGGCTATGATCATTCTACGTAAAGCCTCTCAGTGCTTGAATATCTTAAATGCTTGTGGATGTATTTTGGTCCAGTAATAAGGAAAGGTGTGCCATCTGATTTCCTGCAGCTCAAACACTGATCCCCATGAAGAAGTGAAGGGCTCTGAAGTGGGCTCAGTAGCCTCTATTGATTATTGTGTGTAACAGATGCTGCTGAAGGCAAACGTAGACCCTGAAACTTTTCCTGCCCAACTGCACTTACTTGCTCTGAAAGTTGCTGAGGCCCAAGTTTGAGAACAAGAGGTACAATATCACAGCACAAACATACTGTAGCAATGTGATAGGAGGACTTATGTTTCACCTCACTCCTGAGCATAGCAAGGATGTGCCTACAGACGCACACTGTTTCAATACCTTATTTAATTTTAGGAGGATGATAACATCTGCGAACTCTGTTCCACACTTCCAGGTTGCAGTCTTTTCATAGATTATACATGTGCTTTCCTGCACCTGAAAGTTGACTTAACCCCTGGTGGACCCGAATTTCTGATCATTTTTTATCTCATTTGCAACTAAAGGTACTTTGCATGCAACCACATGGGATGTTGTCACTTCTCAACTCATTCTTCTCTCTCTGTGTGTCTTTAGTATTGCCATGGTGACCAAGGAGAACATGACATCCCAGAGAGGCGTGCTGAAAAACATACAGAGCAGGGTCAACACACTAGCCAGTATCCTTTATATGCTACACATGTGCATAGTTGTGTGTGCAGAACCGAATGGAACAAAGCACATACTAGATTGAAAGCTGAAGGGTTCCTGGTATGAACTAACTACTGGTCCCTCAGATGGGACCGCTGATGGAAAATTTTCCCTGGTGCACCTGTCACTTTGTGAAGCAATTTTGTTTTCTGGATTTAGAGTCTAAAAAGGCAAATATAAATCAAGGTTTTTTTTTTTCCTAATCAGATATTAGTTTTCCTTCACTTCTGATTTTCCTAGACCGTTTCCCAACTATCAATAATCTGATCCAGCGAGTCAACCTGCGGAAAAGAAGGGACTCTCTCATCCTCGGCACGGTGATCGGCATCTGCACTATCCTCCTCCTCCTCTATGCTTTTCACTGAAAGCCGGGCCTGGTGACATCTTAAAGGAGTGGGACTAATCTGCTCTCTGTAACGTGGGGAGCCCAGGAGGCTAAGTGCAGTGACTGGGAAACCTGTAGGCTCTTTAGCAGACAGACATTCATTTGGTCCAGTTTTGGGACGGGAACCAGCATGAACTACTGAACCTGTATTTAGCAGTGGGACAGATGAAGGGCTCTTCTGCTGACAAGGGAATAGAGACCAAAAATACACATAAGGCTAGATTTTGAAACAAGTATATTGGTATCTCACTTGGAGAGAAACTCTGCTGTGCTTCAAGTGTGAAGAGACTGTGTGATGCCAATTACTTGTTCACGGGTGGAAGGAGTTTTAAATCAGTGGTCCTTTTTTAATTGATCTAGTGGAACTGATACATTGTGAATTGTAAAATGTAAATTAATAAATTATTCATATCACTGTGTGCAAAAGGTGTATGGCACTACTACATAGTCATATCATTTGAACTCTTTTGAACAGTGTATTGAAGCTTCTTGAGTAAGTTGGACTTTTGTGATGGACTTTTTCTGTTTTCTCTTTCTTCTTTATGTTTTATAGAGCAAAGGAGTAATCATCAAAAATAATTTGCATCATTAGTTGCGGTCCAATAACTTACTTTGTGTGGTCTTTGTGAACAGGCTAGAGTGTGGATACCCAAACTGAGCCCGACGGGACCCGTCAGTACCCGAGGGCTCTGTTTCCTACATGCAAGTCAGACTTTTGGCTCGACGGCTGGAGCAGTCAAATGTCTGCTTAGTTTAATGATGAGGAAAAACACCGTACCATCTCAACTGCGCTGGGCTTGGACATTACATAGGGGAGACCAGAGATGATTGTAACACCCTTAGTTTGAACATCACTAACTTAGCGGCTGTTATCTCTAAACCCTTGATAGATGATAGCCATATTTGTCTGCTTGCCAGCCCCACCCCAAGCAGCTATTACATAGCTTACGCAGTTTACTGTTTTAACGTGTGGGTTTGAAGTTTGTATGAATGTAAAGCATCAAATTAAACTAGAGAAACTGCTGCTGCTTTCAGTTATATAAGTCAAGCCACTGTATCTACAATGAAACTAGGCAAAATCTTGCTAAATTTATTTATTTTTTTTACTTTTTAAAATTTTAAAATCTGTTTTTTTGTTCATAAAATCCACAGTGTTGCTCACAGAGATGTTCCACTTACAGTACAGTATCTCCTTAGCTTAGGTTGGTTGGTGACTCTAAATTGCCTGTAGGAGTGAGTGAGTGTGTAGTTGTTTGTATGTCAGCCCTGTGATGGACTGATGACCTGTCCAGGATGTACCCCACCTCTCACCCAATGTCAGCTGGGATTGGCTCCAGTCCCCCCGTGACCCTCTTCAGGATAAGTGGTATAGATAATAGATGGATTGATGACCATTTTGGTTCATGAAGAAATGCATATAAAACAAATGACATTCTCTTCAGCCTGGCAAAACTATGATGGTTAACATGGTAAACCTAATACCCACTAAACAGCAACATATTGTAGCGTTAGCACATCACCCCTCATAACCAGTATCATCAGAGTACAAAACCCGGACCATGCATGGTAGCATTTATTCCAGTCATGCAAAGTTACACCACAGAGATGAAAACTGGCACATACAGTATAGTGGCAAAGAAACAGTCGTATATAGAAACGAAAGTGTCCACTGTTTTAGTGGCAAAGGTGCTCAGTGCCTGGACAGTTGCTCCAGACCACCAGTCTCAGACATGTTGAATTTGGATGGTAGAGAATCACACTAGAGTTCACACTACGATCAACAGAATAGACCGATATATGATAAATGTAACGTTTTTCATTGGTAGCAAACACGGGATTTTTGGATTTTTGCTACTTTGAGGTATTTGGCTAAAGAGTGTAATTGTTATGCATCACTATGAATTGGAATGGAATTGATGCTTGCCCTTGTTCTTTGATGAATTTCAGTTAACTGCATAGTCTGATAAATGTCTCTCATCATTAGCTGGTGTATGAGCCCTTAAACAAAATAGCCACTGGAACTCAAGGAATAGCATCATTTTAAATCACTTTAGAGGGACTTTGTTCAAATTATTCTTATTTTACATTGCATGAGATGGTGAAAATAAATCATCAATGTCCAGTGAGCTGTGGATTTAAATAATTCTACATGATCTTAGAACTTGATGTCACCTGTGCTTGGAGTACAAGACTATAATGTGTCAATGCAACAGTCCTATGTAACTAAGCTCATAGGCCTGTACATTTACAAAAAACAAATGCGCATAAGCCTGTTTTGGCTCATAGCATGCGTACATGTTGCATATATATTTCCCATATAAATACATTTCATACCAAACAAAGTTATTAAACAGATGATGTTTAACTATGTAAGAATAGTAATGGAAAACAGGGAGCTATGGTGTCAAAAGGCAGTAAAGACTGAAATGTAAAGTGGAAGTAACTAAGTTTGGGTTTGTGGTAAAGAGGGAACTCGGAGTTTGGGGAGGTTTGGCATGTGTTTCAGTGTCTGCCAGATCAAGACAGATCACAGGCTAGATCACAGTTTCTGCACATTCTGCAGTGGCTGCATGCTCCCCTATAGGCAAAGCTGTTAACCTTTCTGACTCCTTAATTAGAAAAGAGACAAATAATAACAGTCAAAATGACGGCAGAATTTTGATTTTCTACATTTAAGTATCTAGTTAAATCTTTTTTTTCTTCAAATAAATATGATAAATGATAGAAAATTAAAAATGTTTTCCCTGCCCCCTTTCGCAGACCCTTGGATTTCCACTGATCCTCTAAATGCCATTGTGTGAAGTCTTATCAAACCCAGCACCACTTGGCATACAAACATTTTTATAAAATGTTCATTTGCTCTCTATATATATGTTCATGTATCCACATTTCAACTACATTTCTAGCTGTATATGTTTTGAATGCAAGAGGTTCAGGAAGGAATATATGAGGATTATATGCAGTTGTCCAAAGTTTGAAGTCCAAACCAACAATCTGGTTTTCAAAGGAGCTCCAGCCCAGACATAGAAAAAGTCTTAGTGTTCACTCTCTCCTTGTACGTCGATCATCCTCTTCATATTAAGAAGTCCATATTTCAAAAGGTCCTTCTGACTGCATCCAAACTGCATTTTCTTTTTCCTCTGGTTTAATCTGAGCCATTCTACGTCAGGTTTCTCATTAACTTTGTCAAGCAAATGTTACTGGATTCTTATGCATGCATCTCTGAATGATTTTTTTTCATACTTGCTACAAGACCTGATTTCATGAGTTGCCTATTTTTCACTTTCCGAGTGTTGTCGTGATGTCATTACAATATGGTATAAAGTTAAGAATTGTATTTCATTTTTTTGTTTTGGAATGGGTTTTATTTTCTTGTTGGCTTTCACGGTTCAGTTTTCTCCCCTCAGGGTCCTGCATGTGATTGGGTTACTGTAAAAGATAGAAAAGAAGAGAGGTGGCATCATCAGGTCAGACACCAGGTTAAAGTCCCCAGCATATTTGTATTTTAACTGTGTATCTCAATTGTTGAGAGCTTTGAGCAGCGGGGCAGCCGCCCTTGCTGCAGTCGCTGCAGTGCTAAATCACTTTACACACACAGACACACACACACACACACACACACAGGGGCATGGAAATCTGCTGTGTTTGGACAAAGAAAAACACCTCATGCTTGTGTGGTAGTGTCATATATCACACCATAATGCAGAAGGCATTTTTTGTTGTTGAGCACTTGCTGTTAAAGCTGTGTGTGTCTCTGAGTGTATACATGCACATGCCTTACAGCATTTGCAAGTTATGTCCCTTTGCATACTCTCACTTAACTGCAACCATAAAGTTAATATAAATACATTGTAAAATGTTTAAACTGGCAGGAACGTCTTGAAGGATAAGGCTGGTCATTTTCTACATTAACGGTATTTTCACCACTGCCCATACAGAGACTAAAACCAACAATGATTTGCCTCTACTCACTTTTAAAGTCTGCCAGCCTGTGAGTCCTGGATTAGTTTATTTGTCTCCGCCACACACTTTCATTGTTGTTCCAAAACAATTAAAGACACATCCGGGAAACACGCCGTTGCACTGGGTGAAATATTTCTTCATTATGACACACAAGACCCTGATGTTTATCAAAAATATCTAAAAATCTCATGCATGGGTCCTTGACTCTTTTTTTTTTTTTACTTCAGATGCTGTAAAAAACTATGGCCATTCAGAGCCTGTGGGACAACGTTTAAAAAAAAAAAGTCAGGGTCTTGTGTTTCACAATGAGGAAGCATGTCACTCATTGCTGCGGTGTGTTTCCTTGATGTGTCTTTAGTTGTTTTTGAACAACACAGGAGGTCTATGGCACAGACGAATAAATTAATCCAGGACTCACAGGCTGACAGACATCAACAGCGAGTAGAGGCAAATCATTGTTGGTTTAAGTCTCTGTATGGACAGTGTGGAAAATACCGTTAATGTAGAAAATGACAGGCCTTATCCTTTAACATCAAGCTGGCATCACTGTATCTTGAAATTTGTTCTACTTGTCTTTATTTTTGTACCTGAAACTGTGACGTAGACTATGATGATGACCACACCCAGGACGATGGCGACGATGCTGAGCAGACGAGCCAGTCGACCCAGCCTCCTGGCACCATCCATGTCCCCTGCCTGGAGACTGTTTCTGGACTGGAGACACACAGAGGTTATTACCAAGAGGAACATATGAATGTAAAAACCTTCCAAGTTTTTATAGAAATTAAAAATTATCTACAGGTACAGAAAAAAGTCAGAGTACGGGTTGGGTCCCCAAATGTAACACATACTGTAGAAAGTTCCCTCTAAAGTAGAAGAGGTTGACTCTCCAGCAGCTCTCTGTGAGGTACATGTTAAAATATTTATCAGTTTCTTTTCCATTAATGAACAGACAGGTTATTTTAAAAGGGAAACAACACATTGAGGTTGACTTGTCGACATGGTGCTGTAGAGTCCTATAAGCTAAAGTGCCAACAGTAATTTATTCCCAGCTACTATCAGTGGAATTGTCTGTTTTAGATTGGCAGACTGGGATTGATCTAGGCATGTGACTTGCAGAGCTGATTGGATGGAGTGATGGAGGTGATAGCAGCAGTGTGAAGGGATTGGATCCACGCTGCAGATGTGGAGAGAGAATGGTGCATGTGTATGGTTTATATGTGACAGCCTCAAAACATCAATTCTCAAGTGTTTGTTGTGACCACCTTTTCATTTGATTTGTTTTGCCTTTAATTTATCTTCAGTTTCATTTGCTTTTAATTTGTAAAACTGTACACTGTGTTCATTCGCAAAATCGCATGACAGTCGAGAAACACAAACATCATTTTGACTGCAAAAAGCAACACATGTGATTCTATCACTTCAAGGGATATTACATTGACTTACTGTACATTCATTTTCTGGAGGCTAACCCTAACATTAAACCAAATCATCACTCTAAAATGCAATGATTTACATTTTGGGAACTTGCTCTTTGTCCCTATAAGAATGTTGAGTTCCCACAAAAACATAATTGACTGTCCCCAAAAACATAATACCAGGCCACACACACACACACTCGCACACAAAGGAACATCTAACTCTTCTGTCTAGGAACAAAGGTTTAATGATGGTGGATTAACTTCCTTCAATACCCTGATTACATTTCATTATTTTTATACAACGTTATTTACTAAATGTATAAATACTACTTAGGGTATTTTTATTAAATGGCATATGACAAAACATACTGCACAAATGTGTAGAAGACAGTGGAGATGTCTGGTCTTTTCATGAAATAAAGTGACTTCATGAATCAGGATGAGAGCTATAATCCCAGCTGAATTAACCTAAATCTAATTAAATGCATGCAAAGGAGAAGATAAAGTAAGAAAGGAGAACTTGTATACTCGATGTACTGTATATAGTGTGTGTGCTGCTTTATGCAAATGTGTCTGCAACCCAATAACATCAATTTCAAGTTGTGTTAAGTGAACTAGTGTTTGTAAAAAGCTCACTGACAAAAAGCAGGGTTACAGCTAACAGTTATTTTATGTTATCAATAGATTCATCATTTAATTTTTAAAAATTCACAAAAAAAAAACACATTACAAGATCCAAGAACCAAGTTGATGTAAATCCGTGGATTTGAAGAGCAGGAACCACAGAAAGTTTTTGTGATGACACACTTAATGATTTACAGTGTTGATTATCAAATAAAATAATTTTTTTTCTTTTCAGCTCTACTTGAGCTATTTTCAACTGGCTGACATACTGTCAGTGTGCGGAGCATCAAAAAACCTATAGTTAGGTAAGTGAGTAAGTACAGTAAGTAATGCAAAACCTGGCCCAGCTTAAGACAGCTGGGGAAGGACAGCTAACGGCCGAACAGAGTTGTGTTTCTTTCACCAAACAACAATTACAGGTTGTAGTGCGATAAGGAGAGATAAGGAGGAACAAACAGTGGACAGTAGAGACCTGGTGAAACATCCCTGCTGTCTCACATCCATCATGCTGAATGAAAACACTACAGGCTGGTGGCAGTGAGATGGTGTTGATTAGGTTTACATAGAACTTGTTAGGCTGCTTGATTATGTACTTCAGAATGCCACAAGACTATCTGGCCAGGTGTTTTTTTTTTTAACAAGATAATGTACAATACCTGAGTTGACAAAGACAGTCTTGGAATAGAACAGTTAAATTAGCTTATGTTGTGACCTATCCACTCACTAGGCTTTAATCCAGAACTATCCATCCATCCATCCATCCATCCATTTTCCTCCGCTTATCCGGGACCGGGTCGCGGGGGCAGCAGTCTAAGCAAAGATGCCCAGACTTCCCTCTCTCTTGTCTAATAGCAATAGAAACGTGTTCTTACTGGTCTCATACTGTTAAACTGAATCTTACAGCAAAGTATTTATGCTTCTGAATGTAAGATCTTTTAAAGCCCGATGAAGACTGTAGGAGCTGTCCTTGGTGCTGAATGCGTCCCATTTAAACCAGTGGTACAGTCTCTGCACTACACTGGAAAATGGGCTTCTCACTTCCTCCTTCTGTATTAAATTACACAGCTATAATTTTCTAGGGTACTTTTTCCATTAGTACCATGTCACATTAAAAAGAATAATTACTAATGCTATCCTGAAATTAAATTGCATACTGTATATACATATGGCCTTTTCAGCAGGACAAAGACATCATTGTCTAATGATTTAGCTCTTACAGTTACCCTCAGTAAATGTAGTTTTAATTTGACCATATTGGAAAAAACACACCAAAGATGAAACAGAAAGAGAAAGGAGTGTAATTAGAAAAGATGTGAAATGCGATAAATATGCAACTTTTTTGAGTGTGGTATTTTTGCAATGTAATACACCACTTTTAATTCATTTGCTTTTTTTTTTTAACTTTTACTTACTTTTTTCCTCTGTGTGTTTTGCATTGCTCAAAATAGCAACACAAAGATAGAAAGGACGCCTTAGCTGCATCTCACAACTTATCACAAAAAATCCTAAACACTGCTTATTAAATCACAATAGTTGTCCTGCCTCACTTACTCGGTTAATACTGAGGGCGTAGAGCAGGGGATGCCTCAGTGTGAGGTAAGATTACACGGTTGAAAGAAAGAGAGCCCTCTTTTCCAATCCTCCTTGATCTCCTACTAGTTACTTCTTGCTCCCATGAGCCTCTCTGTCTCCAGGCCGTCTCTGGTGTACCTGCTACAGGTGGGTGGGGTGGTGCCACCTGTGGGTTTTCCTCTGCACTGGGTGCTGCTGGCTATGAAGCAACATTTAAACCAAAATATGATGTGTACTGCATTTTGAAGAGTGACAGCTCCCCTGAATGTCACATGCATGTATCTTCAGCATCTCACTTCCAAGGCAGAAATGTAAAGCTACAATACAATCACAATCCTATGGAGCCTATACTGATCTGGATTCACATCACAGAGAAAAGCAGCACAGCTTGTCTCTTTTAGAAGACACTGTCTATTTAGTTTCTGTCTGCTTATAGCAAAAATATAAAAAAATGAAGATGTATAAATATGATAATATTTTTTATCATAAAAAAAAGAAAGAAATACATGCAGCATACATCTTTAATATACCCAGCCCTATGTTTGTTAGCCTGAAGAGCTGCGAAACATTTAGGGTGAATGTGTGTGGTTAGTGGGAGGCATCCTTACCATGGCTGTTGAATGTTTATATTGATTCACAACAGAGAGTGAGCCTGGTCATATTTGTTTTCTGAATGGGAAATTCTACCCTCAAAGTGTCTTATCCAGTGTTCATTGTGTTTAACGGTGTACACACCAGCCACATACACACACTACTCTCTTGCTTTCTCTAGGTCATGTGCTCAGCAGAGAAAGGTGGAGGCTAGTAAGCCAGTACATGCTCTCTTTCTCTTGTCATTAATAATGGAGCGCCAGCAGCAGCATGGTGGCGAGGGACATGGTACAGCCAGGAGCTGGTGTGTAGTTATGTCTGTGAGATATCTTGAGCCAGTAAAATGCTTTACACCTTGTACTTCCTATAAAACAATGTCTATTCATTAATCTTCAGGCTGTTTGTTTTAGTTGGCTCTCTTAAAGTTGTACCCTCATTTTAGTAATGATTTTACTTTTTAACTTAGAAACCTTAACAAAAAAAAAATCAAATCTTTTTCAACATTTGATGCTGAGCATAATTTAGTACTTGTACTTATTAAGCCCTAAAAGAGAGAGCGCAAAACTGTTGCTCGGTCTCTTATCCGTTGGTTTACACCGCTGTGGTATGGCTAGGTGTAAGAAGCATCACGGCGTCTAGGGGCCATATGAAGGGCTTTTAGCCTCAGTCTTGTTACAACAGAATCCCCATTAAAATCACAAACCACTCAGTGTGGTTTCAGTGTGGAGGATCAAATCTGTCAGAGCCACAGTGCACCACTCTCATTCTTGAAACTATAAAGTGCATTCTAGCTGCTGCAGTTTCCTACAATTCTACTGTATTTACATCTTGGATAGCTGGTGAACTGGGAAGGGTTTAAATATGCTAACTAAATGTTAGCACCACAAAAACAAAAGACCAAAATGGTACACACCTAATTCAATTTAGCACACCATTAATACGTGAACCATTGTCAGATGGGCTAATTTAGATAATCCAGGGTCAGGTTTCCCAGTGTAGTTCATAGCACTGTCATGGAGATTAAGAGAGGATGCTGCTATTAGGGATGAGCTAGGTTATCATTGTGCAGCACATCTACAATAGCTGCTGTCAGCGAAGCTGTAAATACAGGTCCCAGAGAGAACCAAGATACAGAGAAGGCAGCTTCAACACTGCAATAATAAATAGTTCTGTTTCCTATTTCAATATGAGCAGCCGCTGGTTTTCTCTCCGTGGACTTCATATAATTGGCAACAGCCATATGAAATGCTCTGCCAGTACGTCTGCAGTATCAGATCTTTAATAAAAAGTCATTTACCTATGCACACACATATACACTCATTCATCCAATGCAACGCTGCAAGTCCATATTTCACAGGCGAATCTGTCGAGCATGCAGTAACACTCCTACAGTTCGAATCCTCCCATTACTGGGATAGGCTGCTCTGGCCAGTAAAAACCTATTATCCTTGCTTCTCCAATCCTCATAATTGACTGTACATCTTCCATGTTTGCCAGCCACAAGCC